ACTGTGTATCTTTATTTTAATCCAGTTTTTATACTGGAGCCTTGGTGATACGGTGGTCACATATTTGGGTGGGAAAATGCTCTCTTATGTTAAGCCTGTCATATTTTGGTGGGACAGAATCCTTGGATATTGAACTCTAGAACAGATTTTTAGCATTAATTCCTCCCTTTTTTCAGAGGGAAACCTGAAGGGTCTGACGGCTCTTTCACTATAAGATAAGGTTCTGGTGAAGTAGTTTTCTTTGAGTGATGGCCTAAATTACAGAGGAGAGAATGCTGTGTATATATCAAAATGTTTTCCTGTTTCTTGCAAGAAGCGTGTGGCAATTTTTCCCAGTCTTCACTATGAGAACCTGTTTGGGATCCTGCAAGAAAAATTCATGAACTGTGGGAAGCACCCTAAGACAGACCCCCACTTGGTTTGTAAACCTTCAACTAGTTCTTACTGTGTCCAGCGATTAATCTATAGTTTACATGTTCCTAGAAGTAGTTGGCTCCCCTGGCCTCTGCTCTCAGTAAGCGGCAATTCTCCATATTCACCAGCCTCTTGTTTGGGGGGCACTGCTTTGCCATATAACTCAAATGTCTCATGATCCAAGAGGTGTTGCTTTTCAGGTTTTTCAGTTTTTTCTTGTGAACACAAGAATGAACACTCCAAGGTCTTTACATATTGGGACAGAAACCACCCATTCACCGTGTTGCTCTGAATACTTCTTACGACACTACCATTTTCAATTACTGATTCTACCACTAGATCCCATGTGGGTGGTTTCAAAGTTTTTCTTTGGTGACCAGTGCATCTACAAATATTATACTGGGATCTCTGCTTTTGGATTTCGCATCCTCATCTCAAAATTCCCCGCAATGAACAGCTGTTCGTCACCTGAAAAAGTTTTTTCATTGATTACCTTGTTTTAATCACCACCCCTCTGGGGGCTGGATTAACACCCTACCTAAAATGGGACTGAATGTCAAGACTGTCACCACATATTCAAGTGAAGAGGAAAGTAATTATTACTCCTAAGAAGAGGGAAAGGGTAAGCTGAGATACAGGTGGCTTCTGCAAAGAATGGGTTAGCTCTTTAAGTTGTGTAAGGTTAGAGGCTGCAAGTTTTCAAGGTTTGACCCTCCTACCTGATGACACAAGAGAAAATCTCTACTTATAAGGTGTTATTCAAGCCTGATGACCAGACATATTGTGATAGGCCTTAACGACTGGACACTCTCTAATTAATGCCTCAAACAGCAGGAAGATCCATTTAGAAGAAAGCGGGTTTCTCTAAATAAGCCATTAAGCCAACCTATGAGAGTTCTAAAGGATCACAAGAGAGGTACAAGATCCATGGAATGCCTTTTTCAAGAGCCGTGTTTTTTATTTTGATAAATTAGGTGATAATATCAGTTGCTACAAGGTCTCCGTAAGTCCTTGTATTCTGACTTCAGTAGGGTCATGTGTGCTAATGAATAATTTGTCTATGAGTTTCTACCATGGTGTGAGCATAGCAAGTAGCCCAGCAGAGGGGTGAGGGGCCCTAAAAAGTGCATTTGCCATTAGCTGTAAGGACTCTTTCCTTGGTTTGAAAAGTATGTTAATTGATTATATTACCAGTGGTGCACTTTTTTCACATTAGGTGAATTAGTCAGTCACTAAGTTAGCCATGGCAGAGGAAGAAACTCCCTTGTTTTGCCTAGACCTTTAGGTTAGAGACCTCTAAATGGCTTAGAATTATGTGGGCCCACAGGGCCAAGGTTAATAGCATCAAGTCTGAGGTGTCAGTGTGTGTATCAGAAATCTGACTCAGTTTATCTCCCTGAGCAATGAAATGAGTCTTTGCAGATTGCAGTTTAATATGTGCAAAGTTACGAGTGACCTTGATTTATACTTGGTTATTGTGAAACAAGATATTGCCAGGGTTCGTTATGCCAAAGGGGGTAACACTGGATACGGAGTTGTTGCTATTGGTGGGATAACAGCTACAGATTGGAAAAAGACAAAGGATCTATAAAAATGAGTAAGTGAATTAAATTCTTGGCCAAGAAATTCTCTAATGCTAACACAATTGCTTGGGATTTGACTAACAGATCTGCTGTTTATGTCCAATGTTTTGTTTTGTTTTGCAATCAGGGATGGCCTATTTGATCTAGGGACAGAACACACAGCATCCGTGCAGTGGACTCTTATTAGGTGTGGTGGCAACACAGTCTATAAAGTATATGAAATCCTTGGTCATTCATGTGTTCCCAAGAGACTCCCAAAGTAGCCCATAGGTCTAGAAAAGTGACCTCCTCCAAAATGGATTACATTAATGTGAAAGAAGCACAGTTACTAGGATATACTAGGGACACCATTTTTGGTTCTGTGCTGTAAGTAACAGTATCTCTTCAAAGAGGAGACTTATGGTTAGAAAGCCTGAGGGTCCTGCATTCATGACCCAAGGCAAAGTGGGAAGCAGGGTGTAGAGCACTTCAACACAGGGCCTGGAAGGGCCTCTATTACAAAAAGATTTTGTCAGTTATCAGCAGTGGCTTCTCTAATTGTATGCAGCACGGGCTAAGGAAAACAGTCTCTTGAACAAGAACACCCTGGGCAATTTATGTCCACCATGGGTGGTTTGGAGATTCTTAGATGCCTAAGAGAAATCTGCTAAAGACTTTATAGTAAAGGGATGTGGGAAGAAAGACACTAATGGAGTGACTGTTATTTCGACAAATGCTAGAGCCATTTGTTTTCTCATTCAAAGGCAGTCAAGTTTTAAGTATTCTTGGAATAAGAAAGCAGAGCTGATAAATATGTGACAGGTGGGATTGCTGTGGCTGAGGGGAATCAGCCCATCATATATGTTCTGCCACCAACTCTGTCATCCTTTCAGCTCACAGCCCCCTGGTGTTGCCTAGGAGAAACCAATATGAAAATAATAATTCACATGAAACCATATTCTTTCATACACTTGCCATACATAAAATTTATTCCAATTGTTTATTAGTGTGGAAAATAGGCTCCTAGACACACCTTTTCCCCCCAACTCCTCCCAAAAAAGCTTTCTCAGTAAGATAGGTAGAATATATATAATGGACTAAAGATATCCAGGAACTGACACAAAGCCAATAGGAAAATCCCAACAATAATCAAACTTTAATTTTTCAGTGTCCCCTTAACACACAACAAATAGAACATTATCAAAAAATTAACCCTAATTGTATATTAAAAATACACTTCAATTCAGCTATAAATAAACAGGCTTCAAAATGGAAAAAAATAAAATAGTATTAATTTAGAGAAAAAACACTATCTATAATCTCGGTATTATTGTTGAATAATGATTCATGGAATTATCTCAATATTCAGCTCTGAAAATTGTAGAAATCCACAGTCCAACAATGCACTTTGAGAAAGAGGCTTAATAAACAATATACTCACAACATTTACAATAACTCTTTCATGTTAAAAGTTTTCTGGAACATACATGGATTAATTCCCATCAAGCTTTCTCATGCTACTCACAATTATCTCTTTTTGGAGTTTTCGTTTTTTTTCCTCACATTTAAGGATGTGAATCAACTGAAGTCTTTCCTATTCTATTCACAGTCAACAGGACTTATCCAGTGAGTCTTTTTATGCCTTCGGAAGGAACTGGGAGAACTGAAAGCTTTCCCACATTCTTTGCACTCATATGGTTTCTCTCCAGTGTGGCTTCTTTCATGTGTTTGGAAACCTACCTGAGAAACAAAAGCTTTACCACACTGTTTACATTCATAGGGTTTCTCTCCTGTATGAGTTCTTTTGTGTATTTGTAAGTAACTGTAATCTCTAAAGGCTTTACCACATTGTTTACATTCATGGGGTTTCTCTCCAGTATGAATCATTTCATGTTTGCGTAATGTACTGAGAATATAAAATGCTGACCCACATTCCTTACACTGATATGGTCTATTTCCAGTATGTATTTTCATGTGTGCTCGAACGCCTGATGGATAAATGAAGGCTTTCCCACATTCTTTACATTGATAAGGTCTATTTCCAGCATGTATTTTCAGGTGTGCCCGAAATCCAGATGGATACATGAATGTTTTCCCACACTGTTTACATTCATAGGGTTTCTCTCCTGTGTGCATTCTCTTGTGTATCTTTAAGCCTTGGTGACTGGAGAGGACTTTCCCACATTCCTTGCATTCATAGGGTTTTTCTCCAGTATGAGTTCCTTTGTGTAAGAGTAAGGAATAGTAATAAACGAAGGCTTTACCACATTTACACTCATAGGATTTCTCTCCCTTGTGATTTCTTTCATGTATCTGGAAACCACGATGACAATTGAAACCTTTACCACATTGCTTACACTCATAGGGTTTCTCTCCTTTGTGACTTCTTACATGTATTTGGAAACTTTGATGAGAACTGAAAGCTTTACCACATTTTTTACACTCATATGGTTTCTCTCCTTTGTGATATCTTTCATGTATTTGGAAACCTCGATGAGAACTGAAAGTTTTACCACATTGCTTACATTCGTACAGTTTCTCTCCTGTGTGAATCCTTTCATGTGCTTGAAAAGTACGAAGATATCTAAAGACTTTCCGACATTGTTTACATTCAAAGGGGTTTTCTCCTTTGTGATATCTTTGATGTACTTGGAAACCTCGTTGAGAATTGAAAGTTCTACCACATTCCTTACATTCATAGGCATTCTCTCCTATGTGAGTCCTTTCATGTGATTGAAAAGTACGATGATATCTAAAGACTATTCCACACTGTTTACATTTATAAGGTCCACCTCCAGTGTGCATTGCAATGTGTCTTCGAAAGCTTGTGAGCCACATGAAGGCTTTCCCACATTCCTCACATTTGTATTGTTTTTCTCCTGTGTGAATCCTTTTATGTGTTTCAAAGGATGGGCGAAAATGGAAGGCTTTCCCACATTCCTTACACTCATAGGTTTTCTCTTTGGTGTGCATCCTTTGATGTATTTTAAATGAACTTGAAGAAATATAAGTTTTCCCACATACCTTACACTTATATGGCTTCTCTCCATAACTCAGATACTCATATGGTTTGTGTCCAGTATGACAGCTCATGTGCCTATTAAGGGATAAAAGATGTGTGAAGACTTTTCCACATGCACTGCATTCATGTGGTTTCATTCCAGTAGTTTTCTTGCTCAGGCTGAGATTTGAGATAAAGCTGGAATTGTCTCCACATTGACTACCCTCTTTACTTTCACAGCGTCTTTCTATCATTTGACTTCTGTAAAAAATAAGAAGCATGTTATTAATGATTTTTTCAAAATACTTACTAGGATTCATAGGAAAAGTGTAAGTTTTCTGATTTGTCTGAATTTTCTGTAGTTGAACATACTGAATGCTCTCCAAAGTACCCTTGCAATTGTCAAAACAGTGATATTCACATATAGGTTTATTAATACTGTTTCCAAGTAAACAATTTTGCAAACACTGAATATTTATGTCACATGAAAAGAAAGTATTTTTGGTAAAAGTTTTCTAAGAATAACTAAATTTGAAGCAGCAGTTATTTCCTTCTTTTAAAAATTTGTAACATACCAAGAAGTCTCACATAAGACACCACTTCCTATTGTGAGTGGGACTCACCTTATTTTTCTTCCCTGGTTTTTGTACGGCTCTTCAATGTCATGCTTTTCCCATTTTTTGCCTAAAATGTAGACCGAGAAAAATGATTACCAAATATTAGATGTTATAAGAAAATTGTTACAGTCTCTGTCCGTTGTGACCATGCCTAGTTTATTACCAAGGTCCTCCTTTCCCACATTCTACATCTTGGAAAAATAATAATGAGCAAGAAACACTTGTTCTCTAATTGAGCAAGTGAAGGAGGTCATCATCCTTACCTAGTGAGTCCAGGTTCATGAAAGTTTCCTGCATCACATCTCTATAGAGTTTCTTCTGTGAAGGATCCAGTAAAGCCCACTCCTCCAGGGTGAAGTTCACACTCACATCCTCAAAGGCCACTGAGTCCTAAAACACCCCAAATATGTGTATAGTAGGATGCTGAGACAAACTACAGGATGCTGTAAACTCACATCCTACAGTAGAATGTGAGACTAACAGCACTATTTTACACGAAGATTATGTATGACTCTATCATCTCCAAACATTTATTATATGACTGATCATTAGAAACTTACTGTCCACAATTACTTCCTCATAAACTTAACAGCATGATGAACACATGGAAATTATTTACACACTTTTACTGTGACCACATTACATCTTATTTATTTCTAATGGCAGGTTCAGAGCATGTTGAGAAGTGACAGAAAATCTACACAAATAAAACAAATCATTTAAAAACCATCAATACCTTGTGAGAAAAACTTTCATTTCCTTTCTTATTACTCGCCATTTAAAGGTCTCCATGAGGGGGAGGGTCAAATCTGCATACAATTTTAATGAATAAAAATAAAGAATTGGAAGTTTTTTCTTCTATTCCCATCACCAAATGTGAGAGAGTCCAGGAGACCAGTGGAAATTCAACTTTTAATAAGGTGCAGCTGTCTATATTGTACGTTAAGTACTCCAGGTCTTTAGAAGAAGTCGGATGCAGCTGGTGAAATAAAAATATTTTTTGTGAAGAAGCATGGTTTTTGCCTTGCATAGTATTTATTAGACTCAGTTGTTTCTTTCTCTCTCTGTCCAATTTGATGGGCTAGAAAGTTAATTGGAACTTAGAACTCAGACACTAGGAAAAAGACATGACAACTTAGACCACAAAAATCCCTGTACTCATGTGCCTCAGGGCTGCTTGGAGCCAATTTTTGGCACATATAGCCACGCATAGTGACAAATATGCCAGAAGTGCTCTTATGGCAGAAACAACACTGTGCCCTGTGCCCTGGTGACCTTGATGAATAGGTTGAGAGCTGCCAATTGCAACTGCGTTCATTGAAAGCCACAACGGTTTGATGGTGAATTTACCCATGAGCATAACACACATGAAGGACTCAGCAATGCTTTCCTTCAAAAGAACATAAAATTTCCACCTTCAAATTGCAGGAAATGATTCCCAACCAGCCCCCTGAGGCTGCATTCCCAACTCTCTAATTCCCAAGCTCCCCCGTGGAGTAATGGCGCATGATACCTCAAACCCTGAGGATACGGATCCTTTAGCTGAGGACACCACACATGGCCAAGAGTGTATGAAGGGCTTATTAATTCATAGTTGAGGACTGTGGGGAATGCAAGGTAGGCCTCTCTAGAGGACATGAAATGACTTGAGAGAGCAAGGAAAGATGCCTGGACTTTTTGTAAAATTGAGGTTAGGGTGAGGGTTCGCATACAAGAGCAGGATCTTAAAAGGACTGAATTTCTTGCCACCTCCAAAAGAAGGAGCACTGAAGCACTCTCATCACTTTGCATAGATGAAGGTCAAAGGGGAATCAGGGAGGATGAGACTGTAAAGCTGTCATCTATCAATCATCAGCAATTGGGGCAGAGAATTCCAATTTCTGGTTGTGCACTTAAGGAACTTGGAGCTTCTAGAGGAAAAGCAAAAAAACTTGAAATGAACAACTTTTCTTAGATCTATCAGAGCATTGAGGTAACAATCAAACCACTTTTTCCAAAACTCTGAAAGAGAAAATCAAACAGCATTTTAAAATATGCCCCACATATTCTGTTCTTAACAAGGCCTGTACTGAAAACAGTCTATTTCACCAGAGGCTAATGAAAAAACAGAAAGAACTAACATCACAGAAAAAAATACTCATGAACTGCAGAGCCATGACAGAAGGTTTAAATACAGATAATGCGAATACTTGAAGGAAAAGATAGAAAGGAATAGAATAAGGTAAGTAGTAATCACTGGGATTTTCCTAAAATTAATCATAGATGGCAAGTTGTACAATCAAGAAGCTCAGAGAACACCAAACATGAAACACACTGGAAATGCACACCAAATATATGATATTCAAACTAGTGAAAGATCAAAGATGAAAGTACATTGAAAAAAGCCAGAGGGGAAACACACTTTAGTTATAGAGAGAAAAAGATTAGAATTAAATCAGACTTCTCAGAAACCATGCAAGCAGGAATAAAGTGAAGTCAAATGTTTAAAGTGTGAAAGAAAAAACCACTCTCCTAGTTTGGAAAACCAAAAACAGGCCCACTGAAAAAATTTAATTTAAGGGCCGGCCGAGTGGCGTGTTGGTTAAGAGCTGGCTTGGGACGCCAGCTCTGAGCAGCAGGGCCCCGGTTCGGATCCCACATGGGGGGTCAGTGACACTGCCCTCTACAGCTAAGATGGTGAACAACAGCTCGACCTGGAGCAGGGCTGTTGTGAGTCGCCGGCAATAGCATAGGCTACAGCCCCTGCTGCAGTGGGCTGCCATAAGCTACCGTGTGTGGCTGGCAGCCAGCATGAGCGGCTGGCAGCCGGCGTGAGCTGCCAAGAGCTGCCATGAGCGGCCATCCAGAGGCCGGCGACCGATCTGCGTCATCCGGCAAGAGCATAATGATAATACCAACATGGGCCAGCGAAGCAACAACGTCCTCCACAACTAGACTGAAGAACAAAACAACAGCAACTCGTCTGTTCCCCTTCCCCCGATTCCCCATGCTGTTCCCCTCCCCCAATTCCCCAATAAAATCTTTAAAAAAAAATAAAGAAAATTTAATAAAGTTGATAAACATCTAGTCAAGATAACTGAGGAAAGAAAGAAGGTAAAAATTACTAATATCAGAAGTGAAAGGAAGGGCAAATGGACAAGAAAAGGGGTTTGATACCATCCAACATTCATTTATGATGATAATCTAGTAATAGAGGGGAACTCCCTCTTCTTGAGAAAGAACATTACAATACCTATGGCTAACATCATACTTAATGATGAGAAACTAGATGCTTTTCTGGTAAGATGAGAAGGGCAAGATTTCCTTTCACCATTCCCATTTAACATTGTATTGAAGTCCTAACGATGTAATAAGAAAAGGACATAAAAGTACAGAGATTGGGAAATAAGAAATAAAAATGCCTTTGTTCCATGACATAACTGTCTATGTAAAACATCTGAAAAAAATCACAATAACAGAAATAACATCTGGAATTAACAGGGTGAAGTATGCACAAGTCAACTGGTTCCTTATAGATGTACACCAATACAGTAATACCTTGGTTTGCAACATAATTCATTCTGGAAACTACTTGTATTGCAAAACATCACTTGTTTACCACGTTAAAATGTATTAGAAATGTTTGCCCGTCTTGTGGAACACTCGCAAACCAAGTTACTCACAATCCAAGGTTTTGCTGTATAGTGAACTATCTTTGACAAATGAATAAAGGTAATTATAAGAAAAAAGAAAGTCTTTTAAACACATACCATGCTGGGCATAATAGATATCCACATACATACACACAAAAAAAATGAATGTAGAAACAGAACTTAAACTTTGCCCCAAAATTAACTCAAAATATAGATTATACATCTAAATGTAAAATGCAAAAGAAAAAAATTCCTTGAAGGTAACATATGAGAAAATCTATGTGACCTGTGTTTAGTGATAACGTTTTAGATAAGATACCAAAAAAAAATCCCAAGAATGAGAAAAAAATAAGTTTCACTTTTAAAATGAAAAATCCTGTTCTGGGAAAGTGTTAAGAGAATGAAAAGATAAGTTATAGAGTAGACGTTTTGTTGAACACTTATCTGATAAATGAGTCATATCAAAAATATTCAAAGAACTATTAAAACTGAACAATGAGAAGACAATTAAACCAATTAAATATGGGCAAAAGATCTGAACAGACTACTCACCCAAAGTAAAATACAGATGGAAAATAAACAATATGAAACCATGCTCAACATGTGTCACTGGGAAATTATAAATAGAATAACAAGATGTCACCATGTCTTATCAAATGCTGAAAATTCAACTCTCAGAACAGGAGATACTGGTGCAGATATGAACTACAGGTAATCCTCAGTCACTGCTGGTGAGAATGGAGTTTGGCAAGATTACAATGGAGACAGGAATTTTTTGTTAAAATTATTGGGTTGTTGAAAAAGTCATGGCGCATTTTTGCAATGAAAAACACAGAAAAATACGTCGTGACTTTTCCGACAACCCAATAAATACACTCTTATCACACAGAGTAACATCCAGCTTCTCGTGAATGTTTGTAGGTGCTTTACTCCTAAATGGCATGAGTTAGAGTTAAACAAGATGTCCTTCAAGAGCTGAGTAGATAAACAATCAGTGGTAAATGCACATGATGAAATGCTATTCAGTGATAGCAAGAAATGAAGTATCAAGCTATGAAAACACATGAATAAACCTTAAAACATATTTTGCTAAGTGAAAGAAGCCAATCTCACAAGGCTATGAACCGTATGATTTCAAAACCAGGACATTCTGGAAAAGACAAAACTATGAGCCAATGAAAAGATCTCTGTAAAGGATTTGAAGTTGGATGGAAGGATAAAACAATAGGTGGGGTGTAAGGGATTTTTAAGGAAGTAAAACTATACAACACAGAAATGAAGGATACATGTCATTAAACATCTGCCAAAACCCGAAGATCCTATAACACAAAAGTCAATGCCAATGTAAACTGTACACTTGAATTTATCAATATTGGTTGAGCAATTATTAAAAAGGTACCACAGCAATACAAGATATAAAAAACAGTGCAAACTGTGTGAATGCACAGGGGTTATGTGGGAATTCTCTGAAATTGCTCTTGAAAAAATGGAAGTGTAGAAGGAAAAAAAGAGGAACTTATTTCAATAAGCCAGCCTGGTGCTCAAGGAGCCTGAGACCAGAAAGGGAGGTGAAACTTCCATGGAAAGCCTTGACAAACAAGGTGCTACCACCAGGCAAACACAGCCACAGACACAGGAATTTGCCCCCACTTACCCTACTGTGCCTGCCTTCCCCCACAGCAGTACAACCCTCAGTCAGCACATTGCAAACTTCCAGATACAATATTCCAGGCAAAGAGGTGTGAACTCACTGCAGTTGAATGTAGTAGAAAGAAAAGAGCCACAGAAACTCAAACCTGCTTCCCCCTCACCTTCCCCTCCCTCCAGCCATCGTGGTGGACCCTGGTAGAGGGAGCTGTGGCATGTCACACAATGCAGTGTGACTGGCAGCTTCTCATTGCAGGAAATTGGAACATATAGACATAACCCCATTGTCCACCACATCCCACCATAGGAGTGGTGTCTGACACCCAGGCAAACTGGATTGTAAAAAGGATACGAACCTCCCCAGAAAATATGGGGCATTTTCCACTACCAAGGTGACACTGCCCTACAAATATCCTGGAGATCCCAGTAGTGCAGGTAGGTGAAAACAAAACTTTGCACTATAGCACCACCTACTAAAAAAAAAAAAAAGACCTCTACTTGTCAACCTGCTAAATGGTTAAAAAAGAAACAACTACTCAGTGCTCGCTTCGGCAGCACATATACTAAAATTGGAACGATACAGAGAAGATTAGCATGGCCCCTGCACAAGGATGACACACAAATTCGTTAAGCGTTCCATATTTAAAAAAAAAAAAATTCAGGGGTGGCCAGTTAGCTCAGTTGGTTAGAGCACAGTGCTCATAACACCAAGGTTGCCAGTTCGAGTCCCCACATGGGCCACTGAGGCACACTCTCCACAACTAGATTGAAAAGAACTACTTGACCCGGAGCTGATGAATCCTGAAAAACACGCTATTCCCCAATAAAAAAAACAAACCCCAAAAAACTTCATTCCATCAAATGCCCAAGCAGAGAAATAATCCATCAAGTATCATGAATACCCAAGGTACCGTATTTGCCGGCGTATAAGACGATTTTTTGGCCCTGAAAAATATGCCTCCAAGTGGGGGGTCGTCTTATACGCCAGGTACACTTCAGATAGACTG